TACGGAATTTATCGCGTATGTTTAACTTTTTAAATACCCGACGTTTCGAGAGCTTTACAGCAGCCATGGTCACGGAAAGGACTGAGATGTTCAACGTCCAGATGTCATAGTTAACCGCGGTTACCATAGATTAAAATTTAACTTTTGTTCCGATCTACACAGTATGAACTTATGGTATCATGAAGTCTTGCAGTTGTATGCTTGGGTTGGGATTTAATTTTATTTATTATAAGATCCCAAGCAGATGGTAGCACCCAGCCATCTTCTCTATTGAAATTAGGATGTTTTTTGATTTCAATAGCCTTTCAGCGAAATCATCCTTGGGAGGAATCGGTGTTCTTTAGCGAGGATTTGTGGTCTATCAAATCTGATGTAGTGACGGGGGAGATCCTGTACGTGTTCACACACTGCAGACTTCCCGGAGCGTCGATTCTTCACATCAGCTATATTTTCTTTAACGCGGGTTTTAATTGATCTTTTAGTTTGTCCTATGAAGGAGAGACCACATTCACAATCAAGCTTGTACACTCCTGCATCTTGCAGAGGGACGTTACACTTGACTGATGGTAAAAACTGACCAATCTTCTTCGGCGGCTTGAAGTATGTTTTGATGGAAGCGCGCTTCAAGATGTAGCCAATCTTGTCAGTGACTCCTCTAACATATGGCAGTACAGCAGGTACACGCTCGACTGTGGCCGGCTTCACTCATTCTTTGTGACATAGGCGCGGGACCCGAAGCTTGTTGTCATGCAAAGCTTGCTTGACGTGTTGGAGCTCGGCAGCCAGGTGTTTACTGTCACAGATCGATTTGGCTCACTATGGGACGTAATGGAGCATTGGGCTTATGTATTTTTGAATTTGGAAGGTTGTATATTTGGAAGAAGGGGTTCTACAAGCAAGTAGATGGTGTGACGATGGGCTCACCTGTATCTCCCATTGTCGCCGACATATTCATGGAGGACTTTGAGGAGAAAGCCCTGCTTACTTCTCCCATAAATACAATATTCTACAATCGGTACGTAGACGACACTTTCACAATTCTACCTTTAGATAAAGTAACTGCATTTTTAGACCATCTTAACTCTATAAATTCTAAAATTCAGTTCACAATGGAGTTAGAGGCAAACAATTCCTTAGCTTTTCTAGATGTGTTAGTAATTCGGAATCCTGATTACACCTTGAGCCATACTGTGTATAGAAAAAAAGACCCATACAGATAGATATTTAAACGGTGATTCTCACCACCATCCTTCACAGTTAGCTACCGTGGGTAAATCTTTGTTTCAGAGAGCACGAGGGATCTGTGACAGTAAACACCTGGCTGCCGAGCTCCAACACGTCAAGCAAGCTTTGCATGACAACAAGCTTCGGGTCCCGCGCCTACGTCACAGAGAACGAGTGAAGCCGGCCACAGTCGAGCGTGTACCTGCTGTACTGCCATATGTTAGAGGAGTCACTGACAAGATTGGCTACATCTTGAAGCGCGCTTCCATCAACACATACTTCAAGCCGCCGAAGAAGATTGGTCAGTTTTTACCATCAGTCAAGTGTAACGTCCCTCTGCAAGATGCAGGAGTGTACAAGCTTGATTGTGAATGTGGTCTCTCCTACATAGGACAAACTAAAAGATCAATTAAAACCCGCGTTAAAGAACATATAGCTGATGTGAAGAATCGACGCTCCGGGAAGTCTGCAGTCTGTGAACACGTACAGGATCTCCCCCGTCACTACATCAGATATGATAGACCACAAATCCTCGCTAAAGAACACCGATTCCTCCCAAGGATGATTCGCGAGGCTATTGAAATCAAAAAATATCCTAATTTCAATAGAGAAGATGGCTGGGTGCTACCATCTGCTTGGGATCCTATAATAATTAAAATTAAATCCCAACCCAAGCATACAACTGCAAGACTTCATGATACTATAAGTTCATACTGTGTAGATCGGAACAAAAGTTAAATTTTAATCTATGGTAACCGCGGTTAACTATGACATCTGGACGTTGAACATCTCAGTCCTTCCCGTGACCATGGGTGCTGTAAAGCTCTCGAAACGTCGGGTATTTAAAAAGTTAAATATACGCGATAAATTCCGTAAAAACTAGTATTATTTCAAAGTATTTTACAATCTTATGTGACGCATTGCGTAATTTTATCCCAATAAATAAGAATACGCGTAGACTGCATAAATTAACAACTTTACAAAATAAATGTACTAATTATTATGCTAAAAGAACTTTCCAACATCTAATAACAAAAATTTATAACAATTTACCACAAGAATGCCTTACGCATAAATCAAAACAACAGTTTAAAAACAAGCTAAAAAAACTTTATTGTAATAAAGAGTAAAAATGGAATGTATCATGACGATCCATTGTAAAACATCATAGGTAAGCTGTAATAATTATGTAAGTATGTATGTATGTGTACGCGTACATGCAAAATTTATGCTAATATGGAAATGCCGTTACCCTTTAAATTACTGATTAATGTTATATTATTACTATTGGTTTGTCGTATTAGTGGTAGTAAAATTGTATTAAGCTAGTTCTTTTTTTATCTACTTTATTTTTTGCATGTTAGAAAATAAGAGAGCATTTTTAATGCCATTAAACTGCTGAGCAGTTTGGCAGACTGTAAAACTGTAATTGTGTGGTTTGTTATATTAAATAAATAAATAAATTACCATGGTTGACATAGTAGCATGGTTGTATTTAGACAGGATAAGTGGGAAAACCAGCTACAAAATTAGGTATTGCGTATTGACAGTTGGCGGTTGGTCCGAAGCTTGAAAGCTACGCAGACCTCACCCATCCCTCCTTTTACTAGGCTTGGTAAACCTAATCTCACTTTCTACTACTCGTATTCGTAAAAAGCCGGATACTTCTTGGAAAGTCTTTAGAGCCATATAATTCTTTTCAGCAAGCCTATGGATTCCGCTTACCTTCTAGATGTAGAAGTTGAGGTGGTGCTAAGTCTGTATTAATTACTAGTAATAAAATAATTAGTATCTTAACCGTAGAAAACAAATCCTAAAAAGCCTTAGGCACGATCATCTTTTATAACCACTAAATTCCCTGGGCATCAATTGCCGAATACTAAACAGTTATTTTCAATCACGGTACGTCCTTCATGTAAACAATTTACAACGTCCGCAACCGATCCAATATTACTTACTAGCCGCCTCCATCCATGCCACCGACGAAATACTGAACGTTACTCTTATTTGCGTAGGGATTCAAAACTTCCACCAATCTCTAAATACTTTAAAGATATGTCTCAGCGCTACTTCAATAGCCTCGATGGGTTTCATTTCAACCCGCTAGATATTATGATTCCAAATGTTGCGGCCAATCTCCGGAGACCACGCAACGTATTAATCAAACTCCTGGTTCCTCTCTACCGCAATGAGCCAAATGTTGCAGGACCGTCACACAAAGACACCAGATAGACACCTAGTATTAAAACACCGTTTTTATTAAGGATGGAATGAGATACCCCGAAGACGCGCGTCGCTACACACAGCATAAACGTCGTATACCTGCGTGCTTTAGTGCTTCTTACCACCCAGAATATCGACAATACGAGATTTTCAGAAATAAGACCCGCTACCTTTGCTGGTACGGCGATTTGACAACTCATCTGTATAATGATTCACGTAAAGGTAAACACCGTAATGGAATCAGACGCTCGGATACAAGCCTGGTCATCATTATCATCACAATAAACATCATCGGTCGTAATTAGTCATCATTTACCCACTCTATATATTTACTTTCTAGTTGTTGTTAGGACCACTCTGTTGCCCTTCACTTTGTTTGTTTCCCCCTGCCGCATCTTTTGATACCCATGACACGATATAGGTTAGTGAATATTCTTGAACCGTAACACAACAACATTTATTTAATTTTTAACTTTCTATAAATATTTCGCTTCATGCGGACAACAGATCAACGGATCGACACAAAGACGATATCAAGTTAGATTTTCATACATTATCGATCGAAATCAGCACTTGGAGTGTTGATTCCATGTAAAAGACAAAAACTCTTCAGTATTTTAATTCGTTTATATATGTCATCATTATCATCATCATTATAATAACCCTTTACAAGTCCACCTCATGTTAAGCAAATCGGCCTCTCCAAAGGAATGCCAATTTTCTTTGTATCGACTTTTAATTAATATTTGACGCACGTATTAATAAAACAAAGCTATTCAAATTTTAGGTTTTATCATGCTAAAGACGGCTATGCTTTGGCTTTGAGTCGCTTGAGCTATTATTTGCTTGTATAATAAGTTTTCCAATTCAAGCGTAAGTTCGAAGACTAAAATATTTGTATTATAGCTGAATGTGAATACAGGCATATAACAAGAACATGTTTAAGTTATTCTATCAGTTTTCATCTTTTGTAGTGTCTACACGAGGACATAGAAGAACTAGTAACAGCTGTTTCAGTCATGTTTTCGAACAATAGTCACTCGTAAAACTTAAAAAGTTACGAAGGTTTAGCCACAGCAGTTTCAATCAGTTATTACACAAAAATCAGTATGTGCTAGCTGCTGTTTTGTTATTAATAATAAAAAAATTATTCCTAATAGACGGTAATAACATAGTTTTATTCTTATTAGATTGTAGTAAATGGTTACAACAAATTAATTATAGTTTCATTGGCAACGAAGTACCACTAATTAAAATCGACCACCGGGGATTCACGAACAACATTAGCACCGGGAGTTACCGAAGACCCACTTTCTTTTTTCTTTAAGTCTGTAGTACTGATGTTGTAGTGGTTAGCAAGCAAGTTTGTACAAATAAACGGCACCAACGCATTAGCAATAAAGTCGAATGCACCTTAAAACTATTTTGCGATCTTTCTCACTCCAGGTTTCTCTGTTACTAACTATATAATAACGTGTTCAGCTGGGGGACAGTCATTGAATCCGCGAGTCTTACCTCATGAGCTCTAACATTTTACTTAAAAATAAACTATAATGAATTTTATCAGGATATTTGGTTTTGTATTCGTTTTCGTTATGGCGCTTAATGTCGCTGTAAGTGCACCAAACCCAAGGTGGAATCCATTTAAGAAATTGGTAAGTAATTAATATTTTGTTTAATTTAAGCGTTTATTGGCAGTTTTCGAACATCCACTACTTCACTATCGTACCGTGGGGGTCGTAAGAGGCGACAGAGTGACACAAACCAGAAGATGTACAGCAGAGTTTTCCTCATAATAACAAAAAAATCTTGGGTTGCCAACTTTCCAGCCAGTATGGTGGTAACTATGGCAAATATCACCAATATAAGATAATCTAAGGGAGAGGCCTGTGTTCAGCGGTGGACTTTTAATTGGCTGTAAGGGTAAAGGTATGGATTATTGTTAATAAATCAATATATATATATATACAACATTAGTGACCTGCATGTCTGAGAAATAAGGAAAAAAAAATATTTCGAAGACATGTGAAGTTCGCCAACAAGCACTGAGGCAGCGCGGCGGACATTTCCTTGCCCTAAAACCCTCTCAGAAATGAAAGGAGGCCTGTGCCCAGCAGTGGGACGTATATAGGCTGTAAATTTACTTTACTAATCACGTTTGATCAATCAACATGAAATCAAGCACATAATACATTTTTATAAGATTTTTATGCTACCTACATTGTTATGTTCTCCATTAGATGGCGGAGCACAATCATAAACTTGTTTACTGTTAAAGACAACCGACCGAAAATTTGTGTACACCGGCAGGAAAATGACTGCTAGGTTTCGTATGTTACTAATAGCTCAAGTACACTTTTAAGTTTGCTCATACACTACCTATTTATTTATTTATTTTATTTAAATAAGGCGATGGATCATGGATTCTCCAGCTCTGTCACCACACGGCAGAAGTTGTATGAGAATTCGTCAGCACATTTAGTTGTTAAAGTGTCGTAAGAGGTGACTTTGGTGTAAAGATTGTTTTGTGTTGAAGTGGACACTGTGCCCTAGATCTAGATCTATCTTTAATGTTAATGTAGGAACTTTATAGCAACGGTTTTCACTAATGAAAACTTTAAGTTACTAAATAGTTTGAATTTTATATTAAAAATCTCGTCTAGTATGACTAGACATAAAATACCCCGGCGGTATCAGCAAAGGTGTAAGACATATCTACGTCTAGTTGAGAATAATTATGGTATAATGGTGATCAACAAAATGACGATGTGTTCACACATCCCAATGGTAGCCAAAGCTATTATTTGCATAATATATATTATTCTTCATTTATGCAGATTCTCTGATAATAATTGAATACCCCCGCCCATTAAAAGGGAAGAGGAAGAGAAAGCGCGTTGCTGGCCTATTATAAAGTTTTTATCGTGTCGCCGATTTCACAAACAAGTCGTGAGAAAAGGAAAACTTCAGACTGTACAAAAAAGCATCAATCGGGAATTTCATAAAAACTTCAAAAGAACTCTAAATATATAAAATATTGGGAGTCTCTGATGTCAGCATTGCTAAAATCGGAGACGCAAGTCCAGATCAGAAAAAAATGTTTTGCGTTTATGCAGAACTATTAAATCTGACTGCGAAAAATGCAATTCAGTTTTTAACAGAATTTTACATCTTCAAAATTGTATTTATTAACATACGACACGACGTCTCTTTCAAACAATAAAATTTCGTCATCAGAAAATTAACATACCAAACAGTTTAATAAAACGTTAAGCGACTTGACCAAACTTTTTCAGCACTCAATTGAATGTCCACGTGTCCACACTAATGACCAATCTGACCAATTAATCGACTGATTAAACCACCCCATACCTATTATTTAATTATGAACTTTTTTGTTTCAGGAAAGACTCGGACAGAACATTCGCGATGGAATCATAAAAGCAGGTCCTGCCGTCAGTGTAATTGGTCAAGCAGCCACAATAGTTAAGACAGGAAAATGATATTCACTATAAGATATAAATTAATTTATTATGAAACACACAAAACGATTTTTTATGTACCTACTTATAAGATCGATATTTTCTATTTATTAATTTTCAAATATTATAGAGATTTAATAAATCATACATCAGAGGCGACTGAATTGTGTAAGCAGCGCAAGTACGTGACTTAGAAAAATGGATACACAGAATACTATTACTCCTATCGGAGTGTACTGTAATCATAGAATACTATAATTATAGTATTCTATGACTGTAATGGATATGTACTAGTGACATTAGCTGTATTTTTTTAGTTAACTGGCTTCACGGCTCTGGGTTCTAGCCCTTCTGAGCCTACATTAGCTGTAGATACAATCGACACATGGAGGTTAGAGAACAGGAGAACTATTGCTGTATAAAAGTGTGTCCCAGAAATATGGACAAAATAAATGAGGCGCTGCGATCGCTAAGTTGTTTCAATAACTTTAATTATTGTAAATATTATAAATTATTACAAATATTTATTATTAATTTATTACTCTTATTAATATTATTTAAAATATTACACCATTTTTAATGTTTCTTTTTGTAAAAAATTTAAAAATTACTTCGCAGACACTACTTACTGACAGGCGGGCTATGCTTTAGCACGTAGCGATCGTTCTCCTGTTTTCTAACTTCCATGCATCGACATGTGAGGTCCGCGTGCGGTGAAATTTCTACAGAATATTATTCCATGACATTTCGCTGCCACTGGTGATGAGTGCTTCTTTTCTCGCTCAAAGGCGTTTAGCTGGCCGGCGTCACTTTAAGGCGGAATAGCAGTTTGTGGCGTACTTTGACTATTGGAAGGAGTAGGACGATATAAGTCGATATAAGACGATTAAGTTTTAACTAGAATTTTTTTATAATACGATGATAAATATTGTATTTATGATTTTAATAAAATGTATTAGTAACATAGATTATATGACGATTTTTTATTGCTAAAATAGAACAAAAAATATTTTCAAAACAATACCAGTATTCATATTTTCTTTTTATTGAAGTTTTCACTGAGCAAGTACTAGACATCGGCGTTATAGTTTGTTTAATAATAACGGTTAAAGTAAAGTAAAGTAAAGTTACAGCCTATATACGTCACACTGCTGGGAACAGGCCTCCTCTCATTTCTGAGAGGGTTTTAGGCAAGAATAGTCCGTCGCGCTGCCCTAATGCGTGTTGGCGAACTTCACATGTCTTCAAAAAAAAATTTTTTTTCGTACTTCTCTGACATGTAGGTTTCCTCACGATGTTTTCCTTCACCGCAGAGCACGTGGTAAATCAGCACTTAAAATTGCAATTAACAATTTCATTGGTGCCGGTGCGGATCGAACCCGGTTTGCTCGCGTATTGTGAACTTTACAGCGAGCGCTAACCATCTGAGCTACCACGACTCTAATAACGGTTAATAAACCGATATGATTTTTACATATCAATATCAAAAACGGTTATAAGATATCGATATGAAGCATAATTTTATTACCATTTCTGCGGTTTCTACAGTAACCTACGATCGACTTAAGGTATAATGATCAAAATGAAACAATTTTTTAAGAAATCTGCACGCTTTCTTATTTATGTAAAATTATATACACTTGACATTAGACATTACCGTGTTTACAAAGGAATCAGTTCCTTTATAGCTATTGATAAATAGACAAATTTTATGTAGCGATCGACAGCGAATAAAATACATTTGTCGTCGAATAAAAATCGAAATACAGATGCTTGTTATCCTGAGGATTAAGTTGAAGGCCTTGCTTTGAATAATAAAGGCAACAACGCTACACAAATAATCTACATTATTCAAGTTATGAAATTATTTATTATTGATCATGACCTTTTGCTATGTTGATTTTATATCATCAGTGGCCCTCCTCATATTTTATAGGATTACAGCCCATTACAAGTACCACTGCTCAACATAGGCCATTACAAAAATTGTAAAACATAGCACAGTCCGGAGGAACCGAAAATAGTGTATTGCTAATTTAAAAAATGCCATGTAGTGACGTTTGAAGATTATCTACTACCCCTGTCGACCCGTACGTGTCGTAAAAAGTGACAGAGAGCAAAATAAGGAGACGTGCAGCAGTGTCTTCCTGATAACTGATAGAAAATGAAAAGTGTGTTGAAATTACCCACATTTTATCAATTGTAAATTTTATGATCGATCATTTAACAATTTCGTACATAGTTAATAATAAAATACTTAAGCATGATAAATTATATTTTATATAATTTTAACGTAAAGGTGGAATTTAAAAAAAGATAGTAATTCCCAATTTAACAAGTCAATAATGTCAATTATGGAACTTTAAATGAGTTTTATATTTTAAGCTTCTTACTAACATACAATGATATATATATCATTGTAGGTTATTATTATCGGATATATATATATATATATATATATATATATATATATATATATATATCATCATCATTACAGCCCTTCACAAGTCCACTGCTGAACATAGGCCTCCCCCAAGTAACGCCACAAAGCACGGTCCTGAGCCACCTGCATCCATCGACTTCCTGCATGTCTTACCAGGTCGTCACTCCATCTAGTGGGGAGTCGCCCTACACTACGCCTACCGGTACGACGCTGCCACACGAGAACCTTTCTTCCCCATCGGTTATCGGTTCTTCGAGCTATATGGCCGGCCCATTGCCACTTCAACTTACTAATCCGTTAGGCTATGTCAGTCACTCTGGTTTTACTGCGGATATCCTCTCCATAGCTCGCTGAACGACCTTGAGCGTCCTCATACGGCCAGCAGTGAAGGAGGACGTCTCTGATCCGTAAGTCATCACTGACAACACGCACTGGTTGTACACTTTAGTTTTCAGAGATTGAGGTACCTATACCTGACGAAAAGATGTGTCGTAATTTCCCGAACGCTGCCCAGCCGAGTTGAATCCGTCGATTGACCTCTCGGTCGAAGTTCGACTTACCTAATCGGACTATTTGTCCCAGGTAAACGTACTCGTCAACAACTTTGAGCATAGTGCTTCCCACAACTACCGGCATAGGTGTGACATGGACATTGAACATAATCTTTGTTTTGTCCATGTTCATCTTAAGACCTATCCATTGGGAGACACCATTGAGGTCATTCAGCATAGTGCTTAGGTCCTCCAGCGATTTTGCCATAAGGACTATATCGTCGGCAAATCGAAGGTGAGTGATGTACTCGCCATTGATGTTAATACCGTATCCTTTCCAGTCCAGTAGCTTGAAAACGTCTTCTAACGCAGCGGTGAAGAGTTTCGGGGATATAACGTCACCCTGTCTTACACCTCTCTGCAGTTGGATAGGTTTCGAGCTCTGGTTTTGTACTCGGATAGCCATCATAGCTCTACTGTACAAACACTTCAGCACTTCGATATACCGACAGTCAACTTGGCACCGCTGAAGGGACTGCTGCACCGCCCAAATTTCGACGGAATCAAAGGCTTTCTCATAGTCCACATACGCCAGGCAAAGTGGCAGATTGTACTCTTCAGTCTTCTGTACAATCTGCCGCAGGGTATGTATGTGGTCTATGGTACTGAAGCCTTTTTCGGAAACCCGCTTGTTCGGGAGACTGGAAGTCGTCGAGTCTGCGCGCGAGACGATTCGTAATGACTCTATAAAATAATACGTAGACGCGGCTAAGAAAGAAGATCCGTCTGTGGTTCTTCAAGAGAGCGTTGCCGCCTTTCTTAAAAAACAAGACCACCGCACTTCTGCTCCAAGCCTCCGGAGTAGTTCCACCATGGAGGACGAAATTGAAGAGCCTCTGAAGGAACTTCAAGTGCCGGTGTTCCACCCGCTTTCAGAAGCTCCGCTGTAATTCCATCCTCGCCTGGGGCCCTGCCGTTTTTAAGGTGCTGGAGAGCCATTCTAATCTCGCTCAGACTGACGTCGGGATATCATCGGAATAGTGTCGGGTAAGACTTGCTCTTGTATCTATACTCACACTTGCGTGTGGCTCCGACGATGATGTGTACAGCTGCCCATAGAACCTCCCAATCTCACTCAAAATCTCAGGTGTCCCGGAAACGATGCTGCCACACTCAGTCTTCAGCTTTGACAGTTGGCTCTTTCTGGCAGCCAGATCTCTGGCAAAGACTTTGGAGCCCTGGTTCCGTTCCATCGCTTCTTTAATACGAGCAGTATTAAAGTTGCGTAAGTCTTGCAGCATGCATTTGGAGATCTGTCTGTTCAGTTGCCTATATGCTGTCAAATCTGTTGACGATTGCAGCCTCATCTCCCGTTTAACAGCCATGAGATTTAGAGTGTGATCGGAGAGTTTTTGTGTTCTTCTGCGGCGGGTCTTGCAGAACTTAGCTCCGACCGCATGGACAGTTTCCACGAGCTTGTCGTTCATATCGTCCATTGCATTGCAATCTTCTAGGCACTGAAAGTGGTTACGTAACTCGAGCTGAAAGGTATCGGGATTCTGGATTAGAGCACGAGGGAGACGGGGTGTTGACTTCATTAGATGAGACCTCTCCAACTTAACGTTTAGGTTCAGTGTGCCTCTAACCATTCGGTGATCGCTGCCGGTTTTCACCCTTGCGATCACTGAGACATCACTGAACAGTTGGCGTCTGGTCGTCATAATGAAGTCAATCTCATTTTTTGTCGAACCGTCGGGGCTCGACCAGGTCCACTTCCTGTGGGTCCGCTTCTGGAAGAAAGAGTAAATTATAAAGAGTCCCTCTTTCTCCATAAAGTCAGCCAGCTGCTGGCCCCTACGGTTCCGTTGCCCTACTCCAAATTTCCCTAACTTCAGCTCACCGCCTTCTCTTGTGCCTAGTTTTGCGTTGAAGTCTCCCATCAACACCGTGTAGTGGGTTTTGGAGGAATGCATGGCTCTAGAAATATCCTCATACATTTCCTCCACCTTCTCATCGGGATGTGCCGAGGTTGGTGTGTAGAACTGTATGACCTTCAGTTTGGTGATTCTGAGTATCAGGTACGCGAC